ACCTAATCCACTCTACATTAAAAAGCTAGTTAGTTGTCTTAGATATACATAAGATGACATTACTTCCTTTTAGGTCTAGCTCAAATCTCCTCTCTTCACATGAGTCTTTACTGAACATCCCATGCAAAGAATACTTACAACATCTGAGTGCTTCTTTCTTCATTATTTATTTACTTCAATATACTTTTTAAAATGAGATTTTTTTTGTATTTATTTATTTATACATTTACTTGACTCTGTCTTTTTCCCGAGAATCTAACCTTCATGATAACAAGACTCTTGTTACAATTATTGTATCCTGAGAACCCAGCACCAAACCTAATAAACAGAAACCTTTAAATAAAGCTTTGGAAATGAATAAAACTTGCCTGGTTCTCCTTAAAATACTATGTAGTCTAATCAACAGTTTCTTCAGGGTTATTAATTACATAATCATGTTTTATATAGCCATATAAAATTTATGTTCAGTACAATTTTGAATATTTATATAACTGTTAGAAAACAATTTAACTTTAATGAGAATCTATTGTTCAATGTCTGTCTTATGCAATCAACAACAGAAAATGGCAATAATGTAATGATCTGATAGTTTTAGATTTCTTCCAGAATAATCATAATAAGTTATTGTAGTTGTGGACTAGCTTGAATAAACTCAGATGGTTTTAAAAGTATTCTTGCTATGCAAGTATAGACGGTTTCAATTAGAATTATAATGGTTATGATAAATTTATAATAATAAAGAAAAAAGAAACTATCAATTTTCACTGTACCTAAATGTCCTAAAATAATACTTTGAAGATTTTGCTACACACACATACACACATTCTTAAGTGTGGGTACATATGTACATCTATTCACTCAAGTATATGTGTGTGTGTGTGTGTGTGTGTGTGTGCATATATTGAGGTTTTAGCTAGGACTCCAATTAAAAATTGAAACCTAGTAAAGATAACAGGATATTTTGTGAAAAGATTTTCAGGGGGAAAACAAGGTCAAATAAACTTTTTGAAAAAAATATGATTATTGATGGATAAAATTATAAGCATGTGCATTCTGAACATTCTCTTTTGCATAATAGAGAGTATGTCAAATATAGTATCTCATATTCACTTCACAAAATCAGGTATATCAGGTGAACCATTTGTTTTGCTCAAGAATATTTAGTTCTTTGATGGTAAGAATCTAATCTATATTTTTAGTCATTTGCATTTTTACAAGCATTGACCTACTTTATAGTGCTTGTCATCATGTACTTTGCTGCACAGCATTTCATACTAGAAATGATAAATTGCCATAAAGTATGTTCAATTGTAGCATAATGTTATCATATTCTGTTCCAACTACTAAAATTCAAATTCAGAAATCTCATTATACTTTACATATAGATTGAATCATGTTAGTCTTTTAAGTTTTGAATTATTTAATTTTCTTAAGGAAATCATTCATTTTGTATAGCCCTGGGGGTTATAAAATCATAAGCATTTCTATGTATAAATAACTTAGTCTGCATTCAAAATTTAAATTTGTAATTATAATTAGTATTGCAACCATTTTCAGAGACTACAAAAGAATATTCCCTTCATGACTTCTAAAACCCCACATCATATTAAATGTTACTTTTCTTTGTAATGGACTTCAGTAAACATTTAGTTGTCTGAGGAGTCTTCCTCTGGTATCTGATATAACATATTTCCTACTCTTTACATGGAAGGAATTATTCCAAAATTTTCAATGTCTATGAATATGCTTTCAAAACATTTGTCTATCACATGTCTAACTCCTCCCATTTGGTTAATTGAAATGGGTCATAAGTAATGCATGCATAGTTTTATTTTTTTTTCTTTAACCTATTGATTCAGAAAAAGAAATCAATGTTCCATATTGAGCTTAGGAAAAAAGTCTTTAGTTTTATTTTCCAAGGAGTGGGTAATCCCCAGGTAAGTATCATTTAATATTTGTACCAACACTTCGATGAAACAGATCACATGCTCATTAAACTAATAGATGACTAGATGGTGTCCATAAAAGAGCAAATACAATACATGGCAGAGTACTGTGTAAGGGTAGAAAATCAATTCTCTATACACAAGATAGACTTTAGAGGAATAAATACCAATCGTCCAGGTAATAACTTGATAGACATAACTATGTCACATCTTTTGGAAACCATATATATTTACTTTCTAGGAGGGATTTTAGAAATTGTCTACTCCAATGCTATAGTTACTTATCAAATGAGTAAGCTGAGACTCAAAGATGTAATAAGTCTTTTAAGTTAAAGTTTAAATTTGGTCACATTATAGCTGCATATAGGTAAGTCATTTAATTACTCTAGAAAACACATTGCTCATTAAATTAAGGTGGCTTTATTCCATACTTACAATATAGAGATAATTACAAAAAAAGATTTAGGAAGCAAAGGTAAATAATTTCCTTCGTTACTGTAGCCTTAAGTACTGTTTTAAAAACAATGCTTAGGTTGAAATTTATATGGAATGCTTCATGGCTTTGAACATGGTGCTAAAACTCATGGCTCAGAGATTGAAACCTTATAAGCATGACATTTAGTTCACTCATAAAGACCCTTAGAAAATGTACTCTACTGTTACCCAATTTTCTTCCTAGCTAATACTGGTAGTCATGCACAGGTATACGAAGAGAGGAAAAACAAACAAACAGAAACTCTAGATGATATAACACAAATAATTACTATCATTAAAAGACTAAATTCAGTTTCATATCCTACTGGACAAAAGCTAAACAGTAGCTTTGCCACTGGCTATAAAATATTCTATAGCACATTAAAAAATAAAGATTAAAATATTTATATGGTGTAAATAAATATACAATATGCCAATAAAATATACACATTTATAGTCTGTATGTATAAAAATAAAAACTTAGTTGCCAAACATTAAATAAATTTGGCCTCACGATCTACAATAAACTCTGTTCACTAGAGGACACTGATCATCAATCTCTCCAAGCACAAAACCAAAACAATTATCAAATCATTTTCACTAAAAATTCATATTGAAATTAATTATAGATGTATTTTAGCAGCTATGAAATTCAGACAAGAGTAAGTTATGAATAATTTTAACATGATAATGTGTCAGAGAGAACATCTTCCTTGCCAATTATCATCAAAAACATCACCGTTATCACCATCATTATCATCATCATCCTTTTAATAGCAAGTATATAGACAGTTCTTAGTATGTGCCCAAAACTGTTAACAATAATAAACATACATATCCCTCAATAAACTTTATGCAATAGAATATAGAGAAGCTAAGAGACTAGTCAGCAATAGAAGCAAAATTAAAACCCAAGCATTGTAATGAAGTGATATGTCCTTTATCACTTCATTAATAACAGATGAAATGGTACCTTAGGAACAATGTTTTTGCAAAGCAGACTTCTGCTTTAGAGATAAAGAAAAGCTAAAGCTAGCCAAGACTCTTAGTCTGCCTTTGGTCTGTTAAAGAGGAAGTAGATTATGTGTGAGTGATGGGGAAGGCAGAGATATCTACTGAATTTCTTGGTTCTGCCCTAGAGCTGTTCTTAACAGGACTAAGACGATAAGATTCTGTTTGGGACAGGAAGAACTGAAGAAACAACTCTGATTAATATGAACTTTTACTTACAGTTAATCTCACCTGAGTTCCACAGATAATATTGCTTCTTTTAAAACCAGCCAATTGCTATCTACAATTGATAAAAAATATGTCCCAGCCTTAACCGGTTTGGCTCAGTGGCTAGAGCATTGGCCTGTGGACTGAAGGGTCCCAGGTTTGATTCCAGTCAAGGGCATGTACCTTGGTTGCGGGTACATCCCCAGTAGGGGGTGTGCAGGAGGCAGCTGGTGGCTGTTTCTCTCTCATAGATGTTTCTAACTCTCTATCGCTCTCATTTCCTCTCTGTAAAAAAATCAATAAAATATATTAAAAAATATATGTCCCAGAATTCTCTCAAATGGTATTCATGTAGTTCAAATCTTTATGGCAGATACCACTGGGAAATGTAGTGAGGACTTCCAGATAGGTACCTTTGATTCTTTTGAAATACAAAGCTTAAATTACATCCTAATGTGATAGCACTTGACTTTTTTGGTTGTATGACAATGGGCCAGGTCCAATAAAAATGATTTATCTGTCATTTTTTTCTTCAAGGTTACTTCAAAAAATAAATGGACATGCCCTAAAATAAATTGACATGCCCTAAAACAAAAAGAGGGTAGTCTACAACCACAAATCTAAAAAAAAAAAAAAATGTTCTAGTTTATTTTCCTCAGAAGCAATAACCATGATAATGTGTCCATCATATACTAGCAAACAATATTGCTCTGTTTTGGAGGTTTCCTAAAATATAGTTATCAAAAGTCAGAAAAAAATGCTTACACTATGGAGTTGTTCTCTTGCCCTAGAATACAAGTATATTTCTCATAGAGTTAAAAATGAAATGATTATAGCTGTATATTTTGATATTTTATTCTCTAACAAAAACGAAGTAATGGTACAATCTTATCTCATGATAAAAAAAAAAAACCCTCATGTTCATAATACATTTTTAAACACTATAAAATATTAAATATTGTAGGATTGTTTATTATTTGTTACCATTCTTATATAACTGTCAAATTCATTAAAACAAAAGTATGATAGCATTCAATTAAAATAAATTGATATGCAGCTATGAGAAAAAATGAATAGAGAAATGTTTTATTTCTATATAGAGAAAATATTGGGAGGAATCATTGAATGTGTTACCTCCTATAATCAGACAACATCATTGATAGATTAAAATAAAACACGGAGGTGGAAGGTGTGAACCTTCAAATATTCAATGTTATTTACTTACAATCAAGCCACTGTTTGCTTGCCTTTTTTCTCTGTCATGGATCCTTTTGTAGAAAATCCCGCCTGGATTAAACTGAGTACTCCAAATAATCATATCTCTTTGATAATATACATCCATCCCTGTTATCCTTGAATTATGTTCAACATGAGAAATTTGTTGATGATCGCCACTGTAGTTGAATGGATATATAAAACCCAGGATATCAGTGTCATTAGCAATGTAGAGAACTTCATCTTCAGAGCCTGGAGATTATTATAAATACAAAAATAAAGTAAATTTCAACTAATGTAAAAGCAATGATTACACTATTAAGTTATCTTGAATTGTTATTCTTAAAACAGTTTCTTATTCAATAAAAATCAACTCTATACTGTTTTTTAATCTTCACCACTTATGTTTAAGAGTAATTAATGTAGATTTTTCTAGGGCAAAAACTTACCTTCTGAGTACAGATTAGGCATTTTTAGTAGTTATCCTTTGTATAAAGAGGGATTTCTTTGGGCAAGTCATGATACATTATTTTCTAATGCTTTTTAAATATCCAGATGTTATATTGTGAACTCATTAAGCTTTAAACATTTCTGAGCATTTAGTTCAAGCACCTGAGTGATCATTACCTTACGCTAAGAAATGATGATTAAGATATGAAAAGGCTTCTTCTTCCAATATTCATATATCCTAAATAGTCTTTTATGTTTATTATACAAAGATCTCAGTATTTACTATATTAAAATGCCATCATCTCAATATTACCTAGAATTGTGCTAACCGGAACTTTCTAGCCTGAAGTTTCTACACCTACAATACTGTACTAATGTTATGTTTACCCTGAGACAAGTAAAACCCTAACGTAAATCCTGAAATTATTAATTAAAATATCAATGAAACCATAAAGTAAGATTGAATGGCATGCTTAATATCTGTAAATTTACAAAAAAAAAATCATTATTCACAAGGCATAGTTCAGCTCTGTACGTTTAGTAGCTCTCACTTAGTGAAAGGATACTATGTGGCAGACTCTGTGTTAAGCCTTTCACAATTTTTCTCTTCTTACAACAATCATGGGAAGTAGGTATAGGTATTAGTATTCCCATTTTATAGGCAAGGAACTGAGGCTCGGAGTTAAATAACTTCCCCAGGCAAAGTACATGTAACTCATAGCTCACCCTTGATCCACTACATCACATTGTCTTCCTCTTATAATAACTATCATATTAACATTGTGAAATCATACCCTGCAGCTACCAATATTTAAGTTATAGTATGATTTACTCAAAACATATGAGCATTAAAATCCATACCTAAAAGAGCACCAGATCCATAACTGTCATTTCATTAATTAAAATGATATTATTCCCCCATTTGGGAAAAAGGTGACATATGTAATATTTTCAACAATGAAGATTTTTTTTAAATGATATTATTAAGTGGAGGCAATCTGAATTTGAAAGCACAGTTTTACTTGAAAACCTTTTAAATTCTTACTCAAAATTCCATTCTCCTTATTCTGCTAACCTTTAACCTGTTTTTTTTTTTTAAATACATTTTTATTGACTTCACAGAAGAAGGGAGAGGAAGAGAGAGATACAAATATCAATGATGAGAGAGAATCATTGATCAGCCGCCTCCTGCATTGCATGCCCCCTACTGGAGATCGAGCCCGAAACCCCAGCATGTGTCCTTGACCGGAATCAAACCTGGAACCCTTCAGTCTTCAGGCCAACACTCTATCCACTGACTGAGCCAAACCAGCTAGGGCTAAACTGTTATTTTTATCCCAATAGTGTATTAATTTCTAAATACACAGAGAGAAAACCATAAAGAAAATACTTTCCTATTCTATCACATTTGCTTTTATACTTTTACACTTACTGACAAAATGATTCAAGCACAAAAATGACTTTAACAGTTAACTGTTTGTCATGTCTACAAACCATCCAAAATTAAATAAGTAAAAATAATAAACCAACTGGCCAAATTAATCATCATTAAATACAGACATTTAATATTATCAGGCATGAAACTATTGCTAAAATACAACAGGAACCTTTTTATTCGCATAAGATATATATAGCAAAATTATATGAGCTTTGAAATAATGGTTATAACCTTACCTCTTGCTATGCAGGTGCTGTTTCTTTCTAGAAAATTCTGATCGCACACACATTTATACGATCCTTCCATATTTATACATTTGTGGGAACATGTGCCAAAGACCAAACATTCGTTAACATCTGTAAAGAAGAACTCAAAATAGCATCATCATGCCCCAATTAGCACTTCCATTCATTCTACATTTCTAAATGACATTTTTTTTACTTATTTCTATTTTGTTGTTATTGTTCTTTCAAAGCCTTATCAGTGACTTGTGTAATTTTTTAGGCAATGATAATTTTTCACAAAAGTTTCACTATAATAATTTATAAGTTGTTTGTACATTGCTTGGTAGTCCACTTAAAACATTGAAATATCCATTTCAAACTCCCCTAGTGTTTCCATTTACTCAAATAAACAGATCTCAAGGTTTCCTTTTAAGCCTGTTTCTAATTATCTAACTATATCTTGGCACATGTCATATAGTTGTTCCTTTGTCCCATAATGTCCTTTCCCACTTTAATGCAAATAATTTCTACTCATTTCTCAAGATCTACCTAATGCAAAGCCTTCCTTCATCTCCATCAACATATAATAGTGACTATCCATCCCAAAGTTTCTGTGCTCTGCTGTTTTAATATTTTTCTCTTACAGTATTGTTCACACTCTATTGCAGGTGTGTTCTTATATATTCATATCTCCTACTTGACTGTCAGTCCTTCAGGGCATAAATTATGATTTATTCATTGTATATTGCCAGCATTTTGCATAATGCCTGGAAGAGAATGAAGATATGGATATATCTCTAATATACCTCTGGTTTCATATATATGCAATGTCTATGTAACAAGAAGGGCTATGTGAAACAAACAAACAAAAGCTGGGTCCCTATGTAAATAAATAAATAAATACATACATACATAAATATCATAAGTAATAAATCAATAGGTCACAGGCAATATTCTGTGGTTTAGCACCTGCCTTTGATTTTAATGGCTTACGCAAGGCCAGGATTGACATCAGCTGATTAGGGTGAATTATCTACTTTCTCGTTTTCTTCCTCTTTTTTTTTGCTTTCAATCAGCCTAATTCCTTGGCTCCTTTTATCACATGTAGGTGTCCTAATTGTGTAATACATCTGTGATACAAGTCCTCCCCTTGAATTAGAGAACTTAAGGATAATCACAGTAATATTTATCATTTGGTTAGCACTCAACAGTGTTCCAAAGGGTCATGGTAGAGGCACTTGTAAATGACAGTGCCCAGGCTGACACCCAGGCTTTCCGATTCTGTTGTCTCTATTATGATACTTTGTCTGAGGAGAACTTAAGCACTCTCATGACAACTCATTCTATATTTGAAATGTA